ACATCTCCAGCATCAAAGAGTTTAAGGATCATGTCTCCTATAAGTAAAACTTGTTCTAAAACCTGGAGGAAAAATTAAAACAGAAATATGAGTTATATTCAAGTGGCTCTTTATAACCACAATCTCATTCCATAACAAACACCAAGATTATTCCATCCATGTTTTATATATATATATATATATATATATATATATAATAAAAATAAATGCATAATTTGTATTTGAAGATGGATGGTTGGACAGAAAAAATCTATATTTTCGGAAGACTTAAACGAGGCATCAGTCAAATCTGTTAAATCTATTCACACTGAATGAAAATGTATTGATATTTTCTCTGAACAAGACAATGTTTCAGAATTTTAATATCCATTAAAATATTATAAGGTGACTATGATGTATATAATATATATATAATATATACATCAGAATGCCACAGTGACATACCTCTACATATCTCACAATGTCATCTCTTCCTTGCTCACCACTCAGTTTGATTAACATAAGTTTATTCTGCAGTTCTTTTAGTTCAGCTAGGTTGTATGTTTTGTACGTCTGGTCTGATCCCTTGTCTTCCCTCTTTTGATCTGCAATGCTTTCTTTAATTCGAAGGGAGATACAGTTTTCCAGAGAAGCCTGGAGAAAAACAAGGCAGACTAATTGAATGGCAGATAAGAAGGACATAATGGGTAGAATGAAGATATACTGTAAATAAATAATCAGGACTTTAACAGGATAAAACCTGGTGTTCCCTGAGAGAGGTTAGTTGGTACAATGGGCGGAGCTTAAATCAGGGCTCTGTCTATGACGTCATCAACAATGATTGACAGGTCCAGCTGCATACCCCCACCCCAACGATGACTGACAGGGTCAGCTGCCCCCGTTCCCCCACAACCTAGCTAAAATTTTAATTAGTAATTTAAAGCTTGTATTAAAACAATGGTTACATTTATTAATTATGTTTTTAAGGAATAATAAAGCGTATAGTAGACTGAATGTAAGCTAGTGCATACACATTGAATTTTAAAAGAAAATGCACGTAAGCTCATTATATTTAACAGAAATGTTTAAAGAATACTCTGTATTTTAAGAACAAAATGGCACAAGTCCCAAACTTTTAACGTTTAAACAAGTACAGGCATGCCCAAACGAAACACTGTCAATAGAGCAAACACCGTATTTTAAGCACAAAACGGCACAAGTCCCAAACTTTTAAACAAGTAGAGGCATGCCGAGCGAAACACTGTGAAAAGAGCAAATGCGAAACAAGCACAAATATTTTAGCCCAAGTTTTTAAAAACGAGAAAAAGCCATAATCAGTTTAACAGTTTTATTTCAATGTAAAATAGAAAAAGTATTTCACCAAACGTGAAGATCCATCGATAGCGGCTCTGGGTTCTGTCGATGTTGCACAAACAGTGGGGTCAAAGCGGGCATTATTCCACAACGGAGCAAACCCGCCATGCTGCGCGTCAAATGATTGCCCGTGGGGGCAGCACTTGGCGCATGCGCACTCACACAGAATTTTGTTAGTTTTATTTTAAATAAGTTGCATCCAATTTATTTAATTACATCTAATAGCTGAAGGAACTAGTGAGCGGTATTTAGCAACATACTACGGTAGAATAATGCCTTGAGTATATTACTTTTAAGGAATAAAAACATCATTCGTGTCTGTTAAGCATATTGCCCACACACACACACGCACACACACAGCAAAACCCCAGACATGCACACAAGTGCGCACCTGTTGTCAGAAACTCCAAATATGGTTCATGGATAACTGTTCTCAAGCTATTGTCCGTTTGCTGTAATGTCATAAACCGTCGCCTTGCCACTAAAGTTTTAAACAGAAATAATTCTCTTTAACATGAATGTGCTGTTTTAATACAATGTTTAATACAATGTATGTGAACAGCCTAGATGATAAGTTTTAGGGAATGAATCTATGTGTTTTTAACATAAATTTAGAAGCATGGGTGTGGTAAGGTCTCAGCACATACAGCTAGGTGGGGCTGTCTACTGTTCTTTTTTGTTAACGGGGTTCACAGCAGGGTCAGTGAAACAGCAGGGGTCCGCGGCACCTGTTGACGTCTGGCTATTGATCATTTATCGCAAATGGAAGGGGTGATCAGGGTGTCATAAACCGTTGCTGATGTTTACCCGAAACCGAGCATCAAACAAAGAATAATGATTGGTAAACCAGATGACACAAGTATACCCTCACCAAGCTGGGGCTTATTAAGGGGGCGAGCGCCGGGGCCCATTATCACTCACGTCAAGGAGTGAAAGAAGCGACACTTCATTTTCTGATCTACGACATATCAACGTTGGAAAATGGCACTCTCAAGCTAAGCTAAATGTTTTATCGTATTTTACAATTGCTGTTATAGATTTTTCTACTGTGAAAACATATTATTGTTATTCTGACCAAGAATTTGCCATGCTGTCAAGCTCCTGGCAACACTGTGATACAGAGGATTGGAATAGCGGTAAGTTTTCGAACATAGCAATGGATTTACTGTTTCAATGTGGCAAAAGACTGAAAGTGTTTAAGCTCACAGAAACAGATAACAGCGATGACCTGCTAAACACGCCAATGGTTATTTTCAGAGATAATCGTGAGGGGCCTGTACCCCGACAAGTTAGCTGTAAGCGGAAAAGAGCGGATAGTTTTAACAATACGTGGAACAATATTGCTTACCCCATATCATTGATTTTTCTGTTTGAAATGCTTAAATTTTGCCCGTTTCACCCCCAAGACACTGCCGAAGATGAATTGCTGGTCGCTGCAGCAGAAAAAATTGAAGCGAAGCTAGCAATGGAAAGTACAACCTCAACCGACAGCGTATAGGACAAGCCGACTGGACAAATGGAATCTACGCGACCCGGGGACTCCCACGACACGAAGCGTACCACTGGACTAAGGGGAACCGACAAGAGATGATCCTGTGACTGCAACACCATAAACAACAAGCTGGGCCCTGTCTTCACACCCCCAGGAGGCCGCAGAGGTTGATAGTGATTATGGCTTTTTAACACCCTCGCTGGTGCGACAAGTAAAGAAGCGCCCCCTCCTGGATGTGTTTGAATCTCTACAGGTATTGCTTCATGGACTTAAGGAACACTTATTCTGCCTGATTGACATCGCTAGTGATTTGGATGTACATATTGCTGAGAAATCTCAAGAATACGTATAGACATGGCTGAAAGGCATCAACAGCACGGTTTTTCTAATAATGGCAAAATGGCGCCGGATTATCATGTAATGATTGCGGCCCTGAATGGTGAGGTTAATCCCTTTTTGCTTAACATGATAAATGATTTAAATTCACCAAATGCCCATGTGTCTATGGATGTGGAAATGGCTGACGGCCCTGTGGCCGTGCTAGGGGCGACAACGGACTGAACACAGATATTGAAATGCTTGATGTAGATGACGGTTTGGCCATGCACTCTGAACTGCATCAGATGCTAGCAGAACTGAATGGCGAGCACCCGGGTGAATTTAACTCAATCTTACAAAACTTATTAAATGATTTAAATGATGATGGGCCAGCGGAGGTGGATCCAGAAATTATGGACATTGATAATGGGGTACAACAGCAAAAAGGCGGGGGTACCGCTGATGGTGATGTTGAAGATGTTAATGTAATACGCAGGCCACAGTTTAACAACACTGAAATAAGGCAGCACTTTCATTTTGATGGAATTGAGCATGATGATGACATCATAGATGTTTACAGGGCTGTGATACAGACATTCCAAAACTTGGTGGACAGAGTGAACGCTTTAGCGGGGCCTGGGGATATCATACAGGTGAAACTGCAGGGGGATTCAGTAACCAATAACACAGCTATACATGTTCAAGGCGAGATCGATCTAAATGATCTGCTATCGATGCTAGACAACCTTTCACAGAGCAATGCCAAGGTTTTCAGTGATGAAACGCTGGAGCTGGTCATTCAGATTGTTCATAATTGAAATGGTGGTGCAGCCAATAGACAGAAATTAACAAAGCTTTTAAAGTCTGACATTTTGCAAAAGAAGCTCAGATGTCTTATTGTTTCTGAAAACTCTGACAATAATCTATGCTTTGCTTACTGTGTAACCGGCCTGTTAAACCCCGACATGCCACATGAGGGTGCGGTGATAGAAGCTAAGCGTTTGCAGGAGGCGGTCAGACTAACTGAGTCAGACATGGTCTCGTTCTCAAACATAGCAGAGTTTGAGCAAATGCTTGGTGTCAAAATTGTGGTGTGGTATCATGGGCGTAAATTTCATTTAACAGTAGGGGGGGACAATAAATATAAAATTTCTCATGAGCAATTTTTGAAGGGGACACAAATAATACAATCAAATTGTACTTATAAAGATGTCCCCACAATGAAAAACTTTGCTTCTATCATTATTATTGTAGCATGGAGACTGCGTCATTATGGTTATTTTCAAAGTTTTTCTCAGATTCAATGACAAAGCAGATTTTTCTTCAAAACTATTTATTGCATTGTTTGTTATGTTGTTTACAATCAAGCCATCAACATACAATAAAATTTAAATGACTGTTTAAATATATAATAGAAATCGATTATACAAAAAATACAGTGGGGTCAGTTCGGACATAGCACAGTGCACATTTAATAAATGTACAGCTAAACAATATGCTAATTGTGGCCGTTAATGTTAAGTTAACATTATGCCAAGTCGTCACAAATAAAACAATGCAAGGGAAACGGCTTTGGCGTGTTAGTTGCAGTGCACTATGCAACAAGCTATTGTAAACAAGCTAACGTTAACTAGATAAGTAATATTTTAATCGCTAATATAGCAGATTCATGGAAAATTACATCGGTAATCAGCATTTTTGCCGCAACTAATTTAAGAACATAAGAACATAAGAACA